GATGTCATTCCCAGTCATTGGTATTTATGGAAGTGATACAACTAACGTGATCAGAGAACTACTGGCTGCCCTATCCTCCAAGCACAAGCTGCCATCACAGATTTGCCAACTTTTGTTTTGCAGCACACCAGTGAAGAACAACCGCTGACAGGCACACCTCAGACTTATCATTACACAAAGTGTACACGGACCAAACATCACGTTTTACAGCAGGACGAAAACCATTACATGATCATCAGAATATCATTGTTAGAAATATATGTTTTCTGTCCCAAAAGTTCATGTTAACATCTGCCTAATGCTCATATTTACTTCTGAAGAAGATGTTACAAAGATAGCTATATGCAAATTTAGTGATTAACATTGGCTTTTAGAAAAATAAAATTTCATATTATACAATTTCTAAAACTAGCCCATCATCAGTAAACAGTTAAGTATGCTGTGTGAGGTATGGGAGAACAAAATATAACTTCGATATCTGTTTTACTAATTAATTCACCATTTGGCTAGGTAAAAACATAGCACGTGAATGTGAAAAAAAATTAAGCAAAACAATATTATAAAATTAAAGATTAGGTCTAGAAGATTCTTAAATATAGGATAGCAATAATTTCAGATACTACTTGCTGTACAATAAGCAAGTGTACTTTTTGCTACTGTGTACTTCACAACATATTTTCCCCTTCTTGAGACCCTTCTCCATACCCATCTTTGTTTTTTATTATCACCCTCCCTTGATTTTCTTAAAGATTATTTATTTATTTATTTGAAAGGCTGGTTGAGGCGGGGGAGAGAGAGAGAGAGACAGAGAGACAGAGATATTGTCCATCTGATGGCTTACTCCCCTAAATATCACTAACAGCTAGGAATGGGTCAGGCTGAAGCTGGGAATCACGAACTCCATAATGGCCTCCCAGGTGGTTGTAGAAACCGGAATACTTGAACTACCTGTTTCCTCCAAGCCACATTAGCAGGAAGCTGGATTAGAAGTGGAATAGCAGGACTCAGCCTAGCATTCCAGTAAGGGATGTGCCAATAATCAGCTTAACCTGAAGCACCACAACTCCCATCCTATTCCCCCTTAATGTTACTGCATTTTCAACTGTCAGTGTTGAAATTCATATGGAAATCATTCAGTTACAACTGATACTCCAAGGTCAGTTGCACTTCAGTGGGAAATGGATGCAGGAGGACAGGTGGACTCAAGCTATCAATTACTGTAATAAAAACGCAGACATTCTTCAAGTAAACTGCTGTGGAGACCTACGCTATTACACAGGCATATATGTAAAGCACGTGAAGCAGTTAATGCCTGTTTTTGAGTAGGTTTGTTTCAAAGTCCATTTCAACACTTAAATGGACAACTTTCTGTCCTTCGCAAGTTCTGTTTTCTTGACCTAGGATGCAAAGAAGACTTCCTGAGTCAAATTGTCTAAGCCAAGCAAAGGAGCTTAACTAAGCACTGACTATCAATAGTAATTGTTGTAGTTAAGAGATACATTTTAGGGAGAAAACTGAGAACCATTCGTTCTCTTTCCATTTTTGGAAATTCTACAGAACAATTTTAATTTAATTAAATGATAAATTCAAGTCTTTATAATATTTTATTGCAGCACTAGAGTAATGAGCCTCATTACTTGGGGAAAATGAAAAGAGAACTATATATGTACATTTTCAACACAGAAAATCATACAAACACATAAATAGAGTATCTTCCAAGGCTGAAATCTTTGCATCAACAATCTGGAGGTTCAGGAAATTAATAGGTATATGAGAGGCATATGTTTATAACTACAATATTATCAGAAAATCTCAAGTTTATCATTATTGATAGTAAAATTACATACAGGTTCAACCATTGTGGCTTAAACCCTTGCTAGGGATGCCCTCATCTGCTATATGTTGATAAGCCAATCCAAATACATCTTTCTTTTTCTAAGATTAATTTACACAAATATTTATTTATTTACTTGAAATTCAGAGTTACAGAGAGAAAGAGAGGTGGGGGGGTGGGGAGAAGAGAGAGAAAAAATCTTCCATCCTCAGATGGCTTCAGTGGCCAAGGCTGGGCCGGGCTAGGCTGAAGCCGGGAGTGAGGAGTCTCCCATGTGGGTGGTAGAGCCCATGCACTTAGGTCGTCTTATCAATACTATTATCAGAAAGATGGATTCAAATTAGAGCAACTGGAACATGAAAATGTTGCTCATAATTGAATGCTGGTGTTGCAAGTGGCAGGTACACCAGCTACGGTACAATCTTACAAGTTCTATTTGTTTTACTTATTCAAATGGCAGAATAATAGAGAAGGAAGAGAAGAAGGAAGACAGAGAGAGAGACAGACAGACAGACAGAATGTTCCATCCACTGGTTCATTCCCAGGCTGCAACAGAAAGCTCATTGAGGTTTCCTTATGGGTGGCATTCCGATATGGGAATCTGTATCTTAACCCAGTATGCAACAATAATGCCCTACCTGCAAATAATATTTTTAAAAGATTCATAACTTGCAAGGAGCATGGGGAAAGAATGAATAAGGAAAAAATGGCAAAAATGTAATGCTGAAGTTAATTTTTTAAATAATGAAAAATACTAAAAAAATCAGTCTCATTAAGCTTCAAAAGAAAAATGTTTTATATAGGAGAAAAATGAAAATTTATTTCATGATGCAATGAAATAGCTAGGTAAGAAAATAGAGCAACTACAACTTTTTACACGCTGAATAGCCTATCATCTGATAAAAATAGTTGAAATTTAAAAAATAGTGTGGTCTTATAATATTAGAAGAAATTTCACATATTTTGTATTTGAAAAATTACAAAGGAGGTAATTTTTTTCTTTAATTTGAGAGAGAATCACAGAAATCCACCATTTCTTTAGTTCAATCCCTGGGACTCACCCCAGGACACACAAGTGCTCGCCGGGACCAAAGGACCTGAGTCATCACCTGCTGTAGGGGTGAGATGCTAAAAGACAGATAACATAAGTTTAAATAAAATGGGTTGACTCACTAAAAAGTAACTCCTTTATAATTATTTTTAAACATTTACAATCTTTTAGTATAACAAGGTACAACGGAAAGGCTTACAACATTCAAATCTACTGTAAAAATTATATTTTGAGTTGGTGGAACAAAAATAATCCACATAAAAATTTTAATATTGTCCCCAAATAAATCTTAGCCCATACAAAAGAGCAGCAACATAATTACAGAACATTTAAGAAATAATTATGATAATATTGTACACCGATACTTATGAAGTATGAGCAAAGCTGTATGCAATCTAAATCTCACTGGAGCAAAGGAAATATTGTTAAATAAGAAGCAACGAAAAACACATTACTAAAAAACTAACTCAGGAAATGAGAATATCATGAATAAAATTAACTTGTAAAATAGATTCAAATAAAATACAGTGTTCAGTTGATAATTAGAAAGAGAAATACTAAAATAAATAAGCCAACTGGATTTTTGAAAGAACTGATGAATAGAACACTTTTATTAGGACTTCAACACATCAAACCAAAGAAAACAATCATAAGAGACAAAAAGGGCTTTGGTGAGGGATGAAAAACAAGCATAAAACTGCATATTCAGTGAATAATTTTTAACCTGAGAGTGGGATACAAAGCATATTCTGATAATTGTGAAAATCTTGATGAGCTGGGTGCCAAGGCAACTATGAACTATCTTGACTGACTCAGTTCAGAGCACCGTGTTTTTCTGCCTGTCCTGCATGTTCTTAGAAGAGTAGCAGCACCCGAAGCTTATGCAGGAGGAGACAAGAAAGTCCAGGACCCTGACCAGTGTGTGCAGGGCAGGTGGACAACTAACTGGTCCACGCAACTGTCATCTTCTCTTTTACAACAATTTCCATCCTCTCCCCCCTTCTTTTACTTAGCACTATCGCATTAACACTATCTAGCACATCACTTATTTTATTATTTAGGTGCTTGCAAATTATCTACCTCCCTTCCCTTGCACTATCTAAATAAATGTAGGATACTGGCTGGAGTTTCTATGGTATGTTATTGATTCTTGGATCGTAAACAAGGCTTGACAAATGTTTATGTATCTATGTATCTATATATCTATATATCTATATCTATATCTATATATCTGGTAAGTGAATCTGTTGAATGAATGAAAGGAGTAAGAGACAGAGACGCCATCTACAGAGAATAACGCTGATGGTTTCTATAAACTTACATTTGGGTTCATGCAGGCAAAAATACTTTGCCACCCTTTGTAGCACTGACAATAGACTGTACATTTGTGTACTCTTTCAAGAGAGAAGCCGAACAGAGTGAGAATAAAGGGAGTGGAATAATGGAGAAGGAGTTGAGGGGAGAGGAAAAAATGAGACAGGCTTCCAGTTTCCATTCCTATTTTCATTAAGACTGCTATTTTTACACATGGAGAATAAAACACTTATTTTAAATCACAGAATCTCTGGTTGCCAATTTTTAAATTACAGCAGTTTTCATTGTGTTATCTGCCATCTCTTACACGTGTCATTTTGGGTAAAGAATTCTCCACCCTGGGTGTGCATCAATTTCAACTATGAGTTTTCATTTTTACTGGCTTTCTTTTCTTGTTTATTTGAAGGGCATAGGTCCTGCTAAGCCCATCAGGTAGTTGTAAGGTGGGTATGCACTAAGAATGTTACCTTCTTCAAAGAATTCTACCAAAATGCCCACCCAACACACTCATAGCTACCACAGGTTCCTCTTAATCTTTCGTTCCCTTCTGTCAAAAGCTTTTAATTTGAAAATTTTTTAAAAAATCAGCTTGACCTGCTGCTAACTCATTCAGAGTTGTTCAATTTTTAAGCTATATCTAATCACTGTTCTAGACTTTCAATTCATAAATATCTTTTTATGTTTGAATTTTAAATGACTAAGATATTATCAATGAGATTCTCAGTTTCTCAGCTTTCCCTTATCAATATTAAGTTAACCAAATCGCTGGAATTTCAAACAGAAAGAGTGTTAGCTAAATACCTGCAGAGGTGCTTCAGCATGCTTTTCTCTTAGCACTGGAACAGCTGGATTTTCCTGAGGGAGTTTAGATTTCTTCTTTTTGGCTTTTTCCATTTGAACATTGGTGAAATAGTTGACAGCAGCAAATTCAATCAGAGCCGAAAATACAAAAGCAAAGCAGACAGCAATGAACCAGTCCATGGCAGTAGCATAGGACACTTTGGGCAGAGAATGGCGTGCACTGATGCTCAATGTGGTCATGGTGAGAACTGTGGTTATACCTTGAAGGCAAAAATGGAAACAGACATAACTCCTTACTACTATTATTTCTTTTCAAAACCAGCAAACTGAAAACCATACAGGACAGTAGGTAGAAAGAGGTTTTAACAAAGTCAGGAACAGCTTAAATGAAAGCTATCTAATGAGCCGATGAAGTTAGCACAGACTTTATAGTGAGACAGATATGGTTCAAATCCTGACCTTTCCAATAATCAGAACTTGATTAACACCAAGTTTAGAGTACCTATTGGGCTTCATTTTACATCCATCTATCAGATAAAGGTAAAGATTTGTATAACGTACTCTGTATGCAACTGTATATAAGTTCCAAGCCCACATGCCTGTGAAATCCAAAACATTTTGCAAGAAGGGAGACTCATTAGAGTGGTGGCTATCAAAAGGAGTGGAATGTTGGGAATACTAGTCTGGCCTCTTGAATTTAGCATCAGAAAATCTGGCCTAGGCATGGCCTCCTGCTAGTGAGAACCACTGCCAGACAAAAATAAAGTGCAAGAGCTCAGCTATTAAAAACAACAAAAGTGCATTGTTCCACAGGTTTCTAGACTGACTTGGCTTTCAAAAGATTGGATATATATATATATATACAAGCCACCACATTATGACTGGAAGAAAAAAAGTATTTGCAGCAAACACAGAGATCCTGCTTTTTGTATCAGCATATTTCAAAGCACTGCAATCACAAATTTATCTCCTCAGTGTAGAAAAAGGCTGATTCCCACTCTCAGTGTAAAAATTCCTCCTGCCTTTGGAATTGCAGTGCAATGTGTTATTGAAAGATGCTCACATTGGTGCTGTTGGCCTTTTATGTCTATCTGACTCATCTCATCTAGTTAAGGCTAAAAATGTCTGACAGGGTTTATTTATCCATTTGAACTTATTCTATTGAATGACTCTGGTAGGTCCTAAAGTTGACACACCCAGGTTTTGGGGGTGGGAGTTAATGATGGTGGTGATGATGGTGATGATGATGAAGTCGATGATGAAGGCATCTAAATTGTATATTCTAGTCCATGCCAATTCCCAGCTAAAAAGCAAATGATACAAGTTCAACTGCAGTGATAATGAGCCCCATATAGCAATAAAGAAAGATTGGTATTTTAATTCAGAATAAACATTGTTGCCTAAACTTAGCACCTATTTTCATCTTTGCTCTGCCATGGACTAACTACTACACATGTACAAGCCTTGTTAACAAGCCCATTGAGCACAGGCTCTTTGAGGACAGACAAGTCTGGTATTGCTCCTGTATTTAATAACATAATATTTCATATAGTGTCAGACACAGTATAAATGGAATGAAAAACATATTGTTCCAACTCTGCCAATCTCTTTCCCCTGAATATTAGGTTCCTTCTGAATTTCCAGGCTCAAAAGATAAGTTGCACTCACTAACCATATAAACTCTACAGAAAAAGAATTTTGAGGCTTTCATAATACATTTTTCAAATTTTGTAACAATTATAGTATTTTATTACTCTAAAATAGATTTTAAAATTAGTTCAGTTAAACACATAAACACCTATATATCTATGAAGATGAACTTAAAATTCACTGGACTTTATTTCAGAAAGATACCTTAGAACGTTTAGAGTTCCAAATTAAATCTCAGAAAAATGGGACAATTCCCGTGCTGACTGTAAGATGCATGAATAAACCCTAAAATGACTCTTAAAAAGAAAGTTCAAAAATGTGTTTTTATTTGAATGCCTCAGTAGCCAGGGCTGGGCCAGTCCAAAGGCAAGTCATAAGCTAAGAGGGTGAATTGGGTCTCCCATGTTGGTGTGGGGACACAAGCAATGGGACATCTTTTGCTGCTTTCCCAGGCCATTACTAGGGAATGTGACTGGAGGTCAGCACATAGGACTTGAACTATCCCCAGTATAGGATTCCAGATCCCCAGGCAGTGCCTTTGATCACCATGCCACAGTGCTGACCCTGGAAAACAGTGTTTAACCATAAATCAAAATAAACCATTCATAAAAATTTAAATTTCATAAGTGGTGTAGCGGCTAAAGCCCTTGCCTTGAATGTGCTGGGATCCCATATGGGCACCGGTTCTAATCCCGGCGGCTCCACTTCCCATTCAGCTCCCTGTGGCCTTGTGGCCTGGGAAAGCAGTCAAGGATGGCCCAACGCCTTGGGACCCTGCACCCACATGGAAGACATGGAGGAAGTTCCTGGCTCCTGGCTTCGGATCAGCACAGCACCGGCCGTTGCAGTCATTTGGGGAGTGAATCATCAGACAGAAGATCTTCCTCTCTGTCTCTCCTCCTCTCCGTATATCTGATTTTGCAATAGAAATAAATCAATCTTTTAAAAATTAAATAAACTTGCTTTCAAAGTTTGTGTAATAGCCTTTCAGACATTTCATTTTCTATTTACATCTGTTGGCAAAACTAGGAAATTAGCTGACATAGACAAGTGGCTACATATATGAAAGTTAGCATATCTTTAGATGTTAGAACATTTTCTCTAGCTGACGTTCAGATGTGAGGAAGGCACTAATACGACAGTGATGTTCTCATTGCCCCGATTTTAGGTGGAACGTTTAATTAAATAAATAAATACCCAAGGAACAACAAACAGAAACCAATCCTTTCGAAAAGAATGGACAGTTTCTCTGCATCTACACAGTGTACGTATTATCAATGCCTTTGCCATCATCTGCCCTGAGAACATTTCAAAGCCATAAGTAATTTTTACGATATGTTCAAACTGATCTCTCTGCATTTACTTTTCATGATTGATCAATACCAATATCTTGACATATGGGCACATACTATAAAAACTTCATATTTTAAATGGAAAAGCCTGTCTACATTCAACAATTAACACACATCCACACAATCTCACCAGTGCATGAGAAATTTTCTAACTGTTCCTATATTTAATATCCCTGGTAGAGACAGAATGGATAGATAAATTGGGTCTGCTACTTACAGTTATGCAAATTTATTTAAGTTCTCTAATATCCCTGAACCATGCTCCTTATGAATAAAAAAAATAGCAATACCTTAATTGCTAAGTTATTACAAAGCTTAAATAATATGATTATTTCAGAATATGAAAAAAATTGTTAACACTACTGGGACAATTACTTTGTGCTACTTAATTTCCTTGTGATATCTTCTTCAGACAGAAATGTTGGCTGAATACAGTTGTAATCAATGATATTATTCTCCAAACCTCTGGAAATATCTTTCATTTTGAGACATATTATTATTTAGTTTAGTTTAGACATAATGTAAAATAGTTTGTTGAGAAAATCTTCAAAGCTTATCAACCAAATCACAATATAATAAACTGAAGGATATTCACTTTTGGTATCTAGTAGTAACTTTGACAGCATGAAATGACATACAACACTTATATTGTATTTATTATGTACTAGGCATTACCACAAGAGCTTCAGCCCATTGGTTCATAATCCTCACAGAAACCTTATGAAGTAGTTGCATCATGAGCCAACAGGCAGAAGAGAGTCACTGAATATTAAGATAGTAAATGGTGGATGCTGGATTCAGCCTGGGCTTTCTGCCTCTGGAGCTTGTACTCGCAGCACGATCACCTCCTCATCACTGTAGCCTTGGCTATAGCAAATGCATTCTATTCCAGAAGTTCCTTGAGATCTTAGTAAAAATCTCATAATACCTATGTGAACCTAATTGGGTATTGTTCACTTTATATAAATTAAATAAAATTTTAAAATGCATCAGTAATAACATTCTGCCAATCCAGAAATGCAAAATATTAATAATTACTCTCAAGTAATAAAAAAGGTATCTGGAAGAAGATCTGGTAATACTTGCACAGTCATTTTTAGTTGTAAAGCCTAATAGAAAGAAAGGCTTCATTTTTAATAATGAAACTCCCAAATTATTAATATTTTGTGAGACTAATTAAGGTACTTTGATCTCACATTCATCTTCTATAGATATTTCCCAACTAGTCAGACTGCCTTAGAATATGACATATTAAGATACAAGATTAAATTAGGCAAATGGCTTAGAAATTCATACACTAATTGGGTTTCCCAAATCCTACAGTGTCAAGTCCTTATTCCATTGCAGGCTACTACTAATACATACCCTGCAAAGCAGCAAATGAAGGTTCAAGAACTGGGCCCATGTCACTTATATAGGAGAACTGCATTGTTTTCCTGGCTCCCAGCTTGTGAGCATTTGAAAAGTACAGCTGGAATCTCCCTATCTCCATCTCTAGCCATACAGGTGTCTTTCTATCTCTTTCTATGTGTCCATCTCCCTGTTTCTAGTTCCATCTCTATTTCTATCTTTCTGCCTCTCAAGTAAGTGTTAGAAAAGATTAGTGTATTAAATGAGAAAATTAACATCAAAGACTTGGCAGAGTATCTGCTAAGTACATATAAATGCTTTGCTATTCACATAAACAGAAGATAGGAAAAGATGTTAACCTTAAAATAAGTAATTATAACTGATTTTATTATCTTAAAGCATGGCTAGCATGAAAGACTTATTAACATTCACAGAAACTTTAAATACATATGTTCTGGACTTCACACGCAGCAACTGAAAAAAGGAAAAGCAAAAATCATAATTATGGGCTGAAAAGCATACAGATAGGACATTACAATGAGTTTATCGTCTAAGAATTTAGTATCTTCCAACTCAATGCATTTAAATCATTTGCATTTTGTTCCTCTTTATGAAACGCCAAATTATTCTAAGACTTTCATATTCATTCAGCCATGACTTTTATTTGTCTTATTTTAAGCTCCCAGTGCAGTTCGTTCTAACACCTAGGTATAATTTTAATTCAATTACACAGCATTGTGCTAGAAACCCAAGGATATCCCTGATAATGAAATCATGTCCCAATTCACTCTTGGTCTATACTTCCCTGGTTCTCAAGAGGAAATTGGCCTTCCCTGTCTCTTTTGTTAGACCTATCTTCAGACCATAGAAGGTCTCCCCAAGAGGCCACTGAACTTATCTGGACAATAAGACGCTGAACTTTATGCTAGGCATGTGTTTGCAAGCAATGAATCTCAACTGAACTTGAACTATGGTTATGCAACAAGGTGGAGGAATCCACCATGGGGGGAGGGGTATGGGAGGAGTGGGGGGAGTCCCCAGCGCCTATAAAACTGTACTACATAATACAATGTAAGCAACAATAAAAAAAATAAATAAAAAAAACAAATAAAATAAAATACAGTAATTAAAAAAAAAAAAGAGGAAATTGGATGTATGGCCCAAGCAGTGGGCAGACTGCCAATACCTTTCCAAGCCCTAAGAATTGGTATGGGCTAACAAAATGCAAATGTGTGTGATGCTTTACCCCATACAGCTTAACTTATTTCTAGTTAGTGTCTTTTTTGAACTATTTAAAAGTAATTCCCATGAACTGCGATCAAAATGCAACGTGCAACCAAGAAATGAATTGTGGTTACCAAATACAGTCCGAGCTGGAACTGATTCCTTATTTATCCAGAATGAAACTTGAGAAAGAATCACTGTCATAATGCATGGGATATATGTCTGAATCATAAAATAACCCATCTTTCGTCTGAGGTGGAAGTAAACCGTCATAACAATATATTCACCTGCCAAGAAACATGAGAAAAAGGCATTATTGCTCCTGCAGGACATTAGTCAAGAGTGTCACATACACATTATATACCACACAACAAATGGAAATTGAAAGCATTATACAGAAGAATATTTTTGTTCTCTATAGTGACTAAGCAATTTAGTAAAGTAGGCTAAAGCTTTTTAAATGTTATAATTTTAATAAATTCCTGAAATGCCCTATGGTTCAAAGGTCTAATACTGCTAAAGAAGCTAGCTTTCATTTTTAGCTTCTTTTATTTATTTATCTTTTCATTTTTAGCTTCTTTTAAAATGGAAAGCAAACATAACTTTAAGAGAAAATTGCAGGAAAAATGAAAACACACACACATAAATACATGGTTATCCACCATATACATGGAAAAGGGAAGCCTGATTTTTGAAAACAGCAAAATTCCCTTATATATTTCATATTTTTAGAAGATGTTATAGATTTGTGTATGTAAATCATTCATACATATTTCATACATGCACACATGCAACCATAGGGAGAAATTATGCTAGCTTTATTTGCACTTAGAAAAATACAAACAGATATGTAGAATGAAAACATGCCTTGCTTACTATCCTTCAGTTCAAGCATGTTTGTTGCATAGATGAAAACCTAAAGACCTAATGAGCAAAGGATTGCTTGGAGCTGCTGATAAACACTGTAACTGTTATATCTAAAGGAATATGTTAAGGCAGCTATTTAGAAATAGAGGTCTTAACTACAGACTTGCTTTCTTCCAGATACAGTTTAAATTTCAGATAGGAAAATGAGTGTCTTTCCAAAGTGAATTCTTTTTTTTCTGGCCAGATGAGAGGTTAAGGCCACTGTGTCATTTCATAATTGGTGACTACAGTGTTGTTTCAGAAGGTTTCCTCAAAACGATGACAGATGTAACAGGTGTTGTGAAGCTAAAAATCATGGGGATTTAAAAGAGAGATGTGATACCATGAATGTCAGGCACGATTGTGGATGCATACAAGAGAGTTTTAATAGAGGAGAAAGTAGACTAAATTACTTTTCCTTTAAACAAAACCCACATACGCATTTTATTTTCCCATAATATAATTTACCTAGTTAAAAAACCCTTCACTTCGGTATAACTGACTTAGAAATGCGTGTATATTAATGCACACAAGGTGATGCCATTACAGAAGAGTCCACATCTGTGACCAGCACAACCGATGCTAAAAGCCTTTCCGTCACCTCAAAAAATGCCTTTCCATCTTACTATCTGCATGTGTGATGAGAAGACTCACGATCTTCCCTTCAAGACAAAGAATATAACACGGTGTTGTTAACCAAAGGCACTCTTCTGTGTAGTTATCAAACAGAACTTACTCCTCTTTTTAAACTGACATCTGAAATCTTTGACCAATATCTTCTGCTGTTCCAGTCTCCTGCCCAGTCCCTGACAATATTGTTCCAATGAATTTACTTCTTGAATTTTTTTTTTCATAAAATACAACAAAAAAAACCCTTCAGGCCCTCAGAGCTGTGTTCCAGATATGTAGTGACTGTCCATTTCCTATTAACAAAACTTTAACATTGTAATCTGACAGGCAAGGCCTTTTAAGGTTTCCAGAAGTTAGGATGCTTGCGGTTACATTTTAGTTTTTACTATTTATTAACTATAGGACTCTATACTGCAAGGTAAAAATAAAATGCATTGATGTCTGCCTCAACTGTGAAATGAAGGTAGTAACAGTATCAAGGCCATGGGATGATTATGAGAATTTTAATAGTTAAATGCAATGGAACAATGTTGTCAGGATATGCTGAGAAGGTCCTATTCTAGAAATCAGAAAATGAGTTCCCCCTAGACACTGAATCTGCTGACATCTTGTCATGGATTTCCCAGACTCCAGAACTTTGAGAAAGAAGTATTTAAAAGATATCTATATATCTACTTTATGGAATTTTTGTTTTAGCAGTCCAAACAGACTGAAAAAACTACCAAGTATTTTTTATGATGTGTGTGTACAAGAAACAATTTTGTAAAAACCAATACTGATTGTCCCATTAAGAATGTTAAACTATATCCTATGATTATTTCCATTCACATTCCAAAGAAATCAAAAATCATCAATTAAAGCCACTCATCTATTCTTGTAACCACTTATATGTACACTATCAACAGTTTTTATAATTAAACTTTAAATTCTTGTGTTACTTTGCTGGGGGAAGAGAAGATAAAAATTTTGGAAAGCACCAAAATATACAGGGTCAAACTTCCAGTCTCCTATTTTTCTTAAAGCTAACGTTGATTTCTGAATACGAACATGAAACCACTTCTCATATCTCACCAAGTTCAAGTGTAAAATACTAAATTAAGAGTGAATACATGAATAGCATTTTGAGCTGTTTTGTGCATTGATTCTTCCTGGAAATATTTGTGGTCTCCCTGAAAATACTGGTTGCTTCCGAGAAAAAGCTAGGATACAGCTCTGCTGCTGGTAGTAAGGAACACACTGGCTTCAACCACAAAGGAGCTCACCCGTAATCGATTTGATAGTTTCACTCGATACAGTTTGCCCAATCAAGTCGTACTGGACTAGGCTGGACGATTCCTTTGGCACTTCAACTGATTTCTCGGGACCTTTTGTCCAGGTGTAAATCATTTCACTCTTCGGATACGCATCTGAACGAGAGCAGATTGAGTCAGTGCTCTCTTCTTAGCATTGGTGTTTAACTCTTAAGTTTATTATACATGTCCAAGAAAAATAGAATACACATGAGATTTATTATGATGTATCATGTATCATTCATTATAAAAATGATTACTACTTCAGAAACTGTAGTTACTGAACAAATAGCCTTGCAACTCAGCAGAATTTGTTTTTATGCCAAAAAGTTAGGGAAGGAAAGACTAAAGCCAGGACTTTGAAAAATGCCACATTTGCATCTGTTCACATAGATGTGATTTCATGATGACAGGATAAGCCACTGAGAAGCAGCTATATCAACCCCCCAAACAGTGCTGTCAAACTCCTAACACATCAGTGTATGACCAATACTGATATCTTCCATCCTGGTGCAGCTCTGCCATTTAGAAGCATACCAGATGCTTCCTATAATGACATAACAATAAAAACAAAAAACAAATGTTACTGGTGGGAGAGCTCTCCAGGGGTCACCTATTCTGGATTCTGCCTGTGGGCAAAATCCAGACTATTTGGGAACTATTCTGCAGTGACAACTGGCAGTGCCCTTTGTAAAGCCCTCCAGGGAATACATTTATACAACCAGTTCCACTACCTTTCAACTCTTTAAAATCAGTACACTTTCCCTTCCATCTTCAACAAATCCCTCCCAGCAGCAATTTAGACCCATCTCCTATTGCACAGTTCAAATGGAGACCAGCTGCTTGCTTACCAGATTACCCAGAACAGACGGTCTGGCTCACACACAAATAAGTTCAAAAGAATCAAAATGAATGTTGTGCCACCTCCTCCCCAGAAACCATCCCAAAATGGCCAGAGCACGGCAGGTTTTCAGCGGAAATTGTGATCTTCAAAATGAGTCAACACCTAGGGAGGTTCTCTTTACAAACGACCTTGCAAAATAAAGTATGAGGCTGGTTTTGACATTGAACATTTTACAGCTATGTGTCTGTTCATCTCCTAATGTTCAGTCATATATTTAAAATGTTTATATCCTATGTTCTTGTCTATGGCACGTATCCTTTTCTTTGCTACCCTTCCTAGAATGACTGGTTTCCTTAACTTCATCATTCCTCTAAATTACAAATAAGGTGAAATTGTATTTTTCTATTTCCTGAATCATTAAGGACATTTACTGATTTTAATTTACCTCTCTTTAACCTCCAGTCTCTGAACACCAGGTGCTTCTAATATGTGATTTCTTTTCTTAAAACAAATCCTAACTGAGCACCAATTATATTCAAGTCATGGATCTCTATGAGAACTAGACAGTATAAGATACATAAAAGACTTCTAAATAAAAAGTCCGTTGGATGAAATTTGAATTATTGCAGCACAAATAGATTTTAATTCTGGAAAGAATATCACTCTGTACAGTTTTATGATTTTTATCTTCTTATTAAATCTTTGGTCAAGAAGCAAATAATTTCTCTCTGGCTTCAAGTTAACCCACTGAATATTTTAATATCAGGGTTATAAAAAAGAACAATTTCTGATTCTCATTAAGTTAAGCATGAGCAATAACGGCAAGAGACCATTTTACAATTAACACACCTAAGAGTGTGAAGCGATAGTAAAAGCAAACATTTTTCTTTTGTAAATTCTAATAGAATCAAATATTTGAAGACGACCTTAGAAGACGTGAGCACACTTTGCTACCCTGTCAGAGAAGGGAACTTGAGCAACTGAATCTCAAATCAATTTTCTGATCCGTTCAGCTCAGCCACTTGTTTTCAACCCTACAGAATTTCCCTAATTCATCTAGCCCAATGTTTCTCTTCCAGGAGCATCTTCAACTAAACCACTCCATCTTTGTTTATACTGAAGCAGAAGCCTCTACCTCTTGTATTCTGCACTCCAGCGTAACCACAGCCCAAACCCCATGTGAAAGCCAAAGGGAAAATTTTGGAATATCAAAAAATGGCAGACTACTTTGTAAAACTTTCTAAGGCTTTCCAAAGCTTAGGTAGGATCCAGACTCCCTAATGTGACAGACCAGGTGCAAGATTACCCTAGAGCACGCCTTCTGTGCTTTGGTGTACGCTCTAAATACTTCCGCAGTAATAGTGATGTTCATGTTATTTTAACCTATGTCATATCTGGAAGCTTTAATCTTTGGCTTTTCCCAAGGCCGCTATAAAGGGCTGTGCTTACAATAGAAACTTTCAAACTGCCTCCCAAAATAACTTTCTTTTATCACCAATACATGAAGTGAATTTCACCACAGATCATCAACTGTTATTTATGACGTTTTACCTATACTACATATGTAAATAGGTATCTTGTTTTGTGAACAAATGAGGGGTTCATTTTAATCCTTATTTAGAAAAATTAACTAATGAGCAATCTCTAAAAATCAAGCCTTATGCTATCATTCTTGTCTTGGATCATGATTCACATGTTATATTATGAAAAATTACATAGATACATATTTCTCACATTAGGTAATCACAGACTAAAGTAACATTTTTATTGTAACTTACAACTCCCAAATTTCAGCGGACAAGCATGACCATCCATGGGGAAATCCACTAATCTCATAGGACACTCCGCATTTATGGTAAGTCTATGAAGGAAAAAATGCAGTGAAATAGAATCAATCCTTTCTTACAATAGTTTCATAGCTCCTTAAAATGGAAAGGAGAGGAGAAAGTGGAAGACAGAAGGAGGAACTTAGAGAAGACGGGATAAAAGAGGAAGGAGCAGAAAGAAAAGATTACCTCATTGTGTACAAAATAGTGCCATTTCTCATGATTCTAAAAAGTTTATTTGGAGCTGTCATGTTATGTGAAACAGATTTCTTTCCATTTCTGAAGAAAGTATCAGGTGTCCACACTTTTGTTACCATCATATTATTCAACCTCAGGATTTCAATGGGGCCATCATATTTGAGCCTTTTGTCAATCCACGTTTGTCTGAAGAATACATCCATTGTGTATTCCTAAGGAAATTAGTGTGTGATTCAGTCAAAGCACAGATGACTACACGTACATATACAGAAAGTATGCATTAAGTGATAGGCTCTTTCTAATTCAAAAGTCACCCCTCATTAAATAGGCGAGGAAATGAACGCAAATCAATAGAGTCAAAATAAGCTCAGCAGTTAGACTGCATTATGTCCACTTTGATACCTTCATCTTTTACATTCACAAGAAATAAATTACCACACGTTTAATCATTCAAGAATAATTACTATAATTAAATAAAACTGCCAGCATCCGTAATGATAGTTGTGCTTAACGTTAGACTAGATATCAAAGTGTAACAAATATCATCGCATAATTAATCATAAAGTTGAAGGTGTTTCTTTAAGACAAAGTAAAATATGTAAGAAATTAATTTTATTTTTATCAAGTTTACTAACAAACAACTGAGGCATTTCACATCATCATCTTTTGTCAAAGGTCCAGGGGAAAAAGTTAAGAAGGTTCCCTGTCATGAAAAATAAATATATTTAATTAAAAATAGTACAACTAAATGGATGAATTGATCCTGAACCATTTCTCAGTATTTTAAGCTCTTTCAGCAGGGGATGGAGGGGAGGGAGAAAGCCATTCATGAGGAGTTAAGTATTCAATTAATTTAGACCAAAACTAATTATAACATTAAGTATAATATTGTCCTCTCCAATTAAAAAAAACAAACAAGTAAACAAATCAACTTCACATAGTTTGGGCTATGAGAACTATTAATAGATTTTTTTGTTGTTGAGAATGACTCCAACAACTGTTGAAATGTCAGAGCTGAAATGCAAATTCAATGTCTTACTCTTTATAACCTTTTAGTAGAATAGGACATTTGACTTTCCAGCTTTGCACTGATTGACAAGAAAATAAATGTTAATTGCACTCATTTCAGGCATATTTTCTTCCAATCTCAGAAGGTACATAAAATTTCCCAAATACCTACCATTTCAACATCAGAGACAGGTCCAAAGCTGGTGACATATATGTCCGTTTTCACTTCTGTTACAGGACCTAGTAGGTTTGAAGTAAATAAGTGTGAAAAATAATTACCATTTTTACAGCCTAGGCAAGTTAGATAATTAAAGAATAAATAGACAAATGACATATCATCTCACAAGTGTCTTATGTTTTCAGTGAGCTAAAGAATCTCAACAACAACAACAAAAAATGTGGACCGAAGCAAAATACAACCAGAAAATGGTGTTTACATAATGGAAAAAAGAAAGCCAATTACTTACCAGGAATCTTGTTATTCAAACATACATTACCCCTGGGCACTGTTACAGCAGGCAATGTAGAGACACAAAAGCTTTCAGCTTTTGTGATATTTTTATAACCCATCATTGATTGGTCTCTAAAGAAGTGAGTTGTTAAAAATAGGAAATGTGGTATAATAGTGAAGAAAAGAAAAACCATAACCACTATAAGGAATGAATCTTTTGAGGACTGAGAATACTGGTGAATGACTTTTAAAATGGTCCCTGTCATCTTTAACGACAAGCACACCATCCACTGTGATTGGGTTCAAAGAAAAGTTCTAAGAGTCTATTCCATTCGCTGACTCTTGCTCTGCCACGGATTGCTCTGTGATATTGGGCAAGTTACTTAACCCCCAGCTGCAGCAGCCATACCTGTTGTGCAACATTTTTGTAGAGACCAAAAGATGCCTCCTAAATAAGATGCCAAACACAGTGACTGTCTCATGTAAGCATCCCTTCAATCTCAGTTGTGCTTGACTTAGGAGATTCTTTTCTGTGTCTAAATAAGACTGGCTCATCAAGTATGTACATATTCTGCATGAAAAAAAAGGTGAAAATATGGTGATTAATATTTTGGCCAGGTCCAGTGCGGTAGCCTATTGGCTGAAGTTCTCATCTTGCACCATATGGATGCCACTTCTAAGCCCAGTAGCCCCAGTTCCCATCCAGCTCCCTGCTTGTGGCCTGGGAAAGTAGTTGAGGACAGTCCAAAGCCTTGGGACCCTACTCCTGCGTGAGAGACCAGAAGAAGCTCCTGGTTTCTGGCTTCAGATCACCACAGCTTTGGCAGTTTTGGCCACTTGGGAAGTGAAACAGCAAATGGAAGATCTTCCTCTCTGCCTCTCCTCTTCTCTGTATATCTGTCTTTCTAATAAAAGTAAAATAAATAAAAAAAGGTTACAGCTGACAAAGATCATTACTACAACCCGGATTTAGCTTGATGCTGGCATTTTGGAGCTTCTAATGCCATCTAAGTATATGACATTGGTCAAGTTTCCTCCTAAGACATTTTTTAATGAGGATTATTTGAAATATTATATAAAGGTGTTTTAGAAAGTTAATGGAAAATGTACATTAATTTTTAAATGTGCAATTAATTTTTAATCCCATTCTCTGTGAACATTTTGCAGTAACCTCATTTGTAAATCAAATATCCTATTACCAGAAACCAATGCAGTCAGTGACAGTAGTTATTATAGATTTTGCCTCTAAAAATGCAAAAACTATTGGCCTCTTGAACATCATGTCCTTAAATGATGATTTATAACACTGTATGGCCAGAGGCTAACTACTTCCTAAGTGACACAAATAACATTGACCATGAAGATGAAATACATCCCTTGGATTTGGTCAAGAAATAATGTTTATGCCAAAAAGCAGTTGGTATTTCTGAATGACCTTGGTCTGAAGTTATCCTCATAAAAATGAATTTGAATATTTCTCACTCTAAAATACGAAGATTGAGCCACACCAAGATAGCCTCCAGGAGAACGAGAAAAGAATTCTTCATTGAAGAAGTAGTATAACAAAAACATACTCCCACCGCCTCTGGGAGGACAATGAGAGCAAGAAAATATAAGTCTGCTTAGTCTAACCATAGTTTTGATTTTGTAAGTGTCACTTCCTTGGAAAGCAGGAAAGTTTATTGAATTCTCAATTAAATGAGAAGTTAGAACCAAAAGAACCAGAGGAGGTAAATTCATTAGAGCCAAACTGTTTGAACCAGGATCAGCTAACCCAACAAGCAGAATATATAGTGAACCCCAGAAGGTGGAAACCTTATTCAAATAGGTTCAAGAGAAGAAATGACTCTGTTACATTCTTAAAGACAACTATAAAAGTTCTGAACAGCAGAAACAACAAGTTCATAGAAATATGTGTTATGAAAAAAAAATGCATGAATTCTACCAAAACAATTAATTTTTAAATCTGCTTTTTTCATGAAATTTTTGGACAATTTCATACCACTGTATTACACGACATGGAGAGGCAAGTTATTCAAACAATTAGGGTTGATTACACACTGATAACTGGCCAATTTGACAATATTTACATGAAATTGAATGTTACCAGTTGTAGAAGTTCTTCTCAAACTTTAATTACATCAGTACCACCTAGCGAGCTTATTACAGCACGGATTGCTGGGCGTCTTCCTTAGATTCACCAATTTACAATGTTTTCAATCCTAGCAAGTTCTTAGAGAAAGTTATTAACATTTTTAATGATGTTCACCTGCTTTCTAGATTAACATTTACAATAGTAAATCTTTTAAAATATTAATACCAAAGTGTTTCAAGGATCTGGGAAGTCCTAAGAGAAAGAGGAGTTGGGCCAACAGTAGTTTTCTCTGTAAGTTTATTTTAGGATTTATCACTGTGTAATAATTCTTGTAGTTATCATGATTCTGCAGTAATAATAGATATTGTCAAAATCTTGCACAACGCACTGCTTTTCAAATAATGCTTGAAAAATATTTTATGTTCATGTTATAACTTCAGTATTTGTGACATTATTTGGTCATATGATTAACATATAAATCTTTGAGATGTATGACCACTAAACGGTTCTCATTGAAACGTTTATTTAGTAAATCCTTATTCGTAAGCCCTAGCTATAAGGCAGGTTCCATACGAGGTCCTGATGCTTTAGTGGTAAACAAGATTGAAAAGTTCTTTGAATCAAGGAGCTGACAGAGTATAAATAGTACAGAAACAAATGAAATTTTATCATATTAAATTCTTCACTGGCTCATAGGTCATACACTATTATCATTTTTTCCAAGGTTTTTTTTATTTACTTTTTGGTTTCTTCAGTGACACATTGACCACTCAGCAGCATGTTATTAAACTTCATGGCATTGTTTTTTTTTTTTTTTAACTTTATTCCTGTTGTTGATTTTGTTTTATGGCTTTTCACTTTAGGGGATGTATAGCAACTGTATAGTAGAGATGATCATATCCAGAGGTGGAGATACAATACACTACACATCTCCACTTACAACCCAAAGATGGACTCCTAATGAAACTAATATATTTGGACAATAGGATGCTGGACTTCCCGCCATTTTCTGTACGTGCAATGTCGGGATACACTTAAATAACAGAATAATGGACTTAAGACTGTTTATGAAGGACTATAGTATTTTAATAACAGGGGAATTTGGGGAGAAGGTAAGGGAAATCTCAGAGCCTTTGGAATTGTATCATAAAATTACAAAACAAATTACATAAAATTACAAAACAATTACATAACAATTACAAAACAAAATTTTATATTTAGGCCAACTGGTATATATTATTTTGCTATGGCAGTTCTAGCAAGAGATCAATCATTTTTTCTCTGCTTCTTTTTCTCCTAATGTTTCCTCTGATATTCAGTCTATTTTTATCGATAGACTATAGTAACAAGTTTGTTTGCATCCCATCATCACTAGTAGAGCTCTAGAGGCTTAAATTATGTCTTTTTTTTTTTTCAAAATCATTCCAGAAGTGGTATGGGAAATGAAGTGCAGGAAGGCAAGAATGGCTAAAGGACTGTTGTCCCAGTGTAGTTGAGAGAATGGTGACCCAGACCAAGGACTCAGCAGTGGAGATGAAACGGCAGATCTATGTGCACTGTCTACAGAGGACAGGCTTTTCCAACAAACAAGACACAGAGATATTATAACTGCTATTTGCTAAAGATCTATTATCAGGTAGGACAGCAGGCACCCCCACTGCAGTTTCATTGAATCATCATACCACCCCCAGACAATGCTATTATCATGAGAATTTCATAGATTTAGACACTGATTTTGGATGTCGAACATTGTGACAGAGTCAGAATTCTATCTCCTTGTGCTGATCTTGAAAATGTATTCTAGCTTTAATAAATTACATCATACCACTAAATAATAAGTCAGTAATTGGCTGATTAAGCAAATGAGAAGTTTTATGTCTAGTATACAACATGCTATACATATAGTTTGTGTTTCATCCATAAATAATTAGTAAACTACGTTCAGACAGAAGTTTTTTTAATGCCTGTAATTTCCTGCTGGTTATACTTTTTGATTCTGTCTACCCTGAATAGCAGATGAGATCCTAATCCTTTTTTTCATGCAACATAAGTGCTGAATAACTATACACTCAGTTGTGTTCCTACTGTCACCCCGTGGTGATTTTAAGCACCTACCCATATCCTCCAGCGAAAAAATGAATGATTCGTTTGCTAAATCAATTAACATTAAGTTATTTTCCATTAAAGTAGAAACTGTCTTATTTCTATGTGTATCCTCTTCTGGAACCAGTCTCAGGCCTTAAATGCAATAGCTTTTCAATAAATTAGTTGTCAAAGAATAATGGTTGTTATGCAATTAAGAATAAATATTAGAGACATTAATATGACTGTTTAGGATATTATAATCAACCTTACTAAGAGAATAATTACATAGAAACCTGATAATTTTGAACATGCTGGAAGGACTTCTTGTATATATAGTATTCAACTGATATTAATACATAATTTTTTATTGTTTCATTTTATGACACAGTTTCATAGGCTCTGGGATTCCCCCAACCCCTCCCCAAACTCTCCCCCCATAACCAGCCATGATTACTTCATTGCAGGCATGGACCATGCAGAAAAAGAAAAGAGAGCATCCAGGATGAAGTCACTGGTAGGTTCAATTGTCTCATGAGGACTTCCCTTACCAGAATGGAGGGGTGCTGTGTCATCACAGAGGGCCGGAGGACCAGATGGCTCACTGTATAG